GCTGTTGCTACCTAGGATAAAAAGTACCATTGCTGTTGCTTAAACAAAACTTAAAAAGGGGTAAGATTGAGTAGTTTGTATGTACATTGTGAGTAAGCCAATATGGCCTGTCTCATATGTAAGGAGAGAAAAGAGGTCTATATCTTTTTTTTTTGGTATATCTGGGTGCTTTATGGCCCGAAAGGGTTTGTCTTTTTTCTGGCTTTTCTGACTTTTGGACCTTCTAACGTTTCATAGGGTATTTCTGTTGAGTACATTGATTACTATGTTAAGAATTCATGGTTTTGACAGCTTTGTTGCTGTGACTGGTAGTATTCAATCTGTTACACATGCTGGCCTATATTTATTTCGTTACTGGCCTTATCATGGCTAATTGCTGGCCTGATCATGTGTATAATAGCTATTTGAAGTACCAGCTTAGTAGTACATAGCAAGAATGCTTTTTATATAAACTGTATCTGCTTGTCTAGTTGAACCAGTTGCCATTTCACATACCTTGCAGGAAAACAAATTCTATGCAAGGTTCAAAGAAGGCCGCAGCTGCGGTTGCTTCTACGAATTGGGAGAAATTCTTGAGAGCCGAACAGCCACCGGAAAGCATGCCCAATCCTCTGCTCAGAGTGACGTCCACTGATAGGTTGCAATTTGATAGTTAATTTTATTATTAATTTTTCCTATTACTTAACCCAATGTGAATTAATTATTAGATTCTACTCACTTTTCGTAATTTGCATTTATTTCAGGGAGTAGAACAAAAATGTCACAATAAAGGCCAATTTGACAGTTATCGAGAAAGAGTTCACATAGCAGGCAATCGAGGGCATTTCTGGAATAAGGAGATACAAGTCCTTTTTGGTAATTCGCAGATGGCAGCATTAAAAGGAGGAACGCAGGGCTGAAGTGAGGGGTCGCTTCTTCCTCTCCGGAAGGAGAGCCGCCGCACAGGAGATACGAAATAGAAATTGTAGAGGAGAAAGCACTATCATTAGCTTAGCTTTTGATTCTTGTCTTTTTGAGCTTCACTTTGACTTTTCTTCTTAGTTTTTAGTTGCTGCTCTCCACGCATGTCAGGAGCAAAATTGGAGAAACCTTTGACTTTTCTTCTTTTGGTAGTGTTTTTCTTTCCTCCTTCGTATGGCAGACGAAGGGAGAACTAGCAACCACCTTTTGTAGCCTGCTATCTTTTGAATATTCGGATGAATTGAATTTTTCCAATCTCAAAGGACGATGGCTGCTGCTTTCTCTTCGCTTTTGTGTGGGTTCCTCGCATTAAACATGAACTAATCTCTTCACTCTAGTCAAGGAACAACGGAGGTTTTGATTCGCCTAAAAATTGTGAGATCGATTTAATTTTATCTTTTCCTTTATTTATTGGTATTCGCATATTCCTTGGTTGCAGTGCTTATGATTGTTTGATTAATTGATTGTCTTGGATCCGGATAATTAGTTAATTTGATAATCTATTGTCAATTGGGACATTAAATCCGTAATTGTTTAATTGTCTCAAAATAGTGATAACTGGCATAATTGGGTTTGTGTCAGGGGAATACGCGGGCTAATCTAAAATAACCCTGGTAGTGTGTTATTTGGTTAGAATAGGGTTCCTCTAATACGTAAGGCAATTGGGGAATTAAATCTTACGGGCGTACCTAGGATTATTTCTCAATTAGAGCAGTGATTAACGGGCGTACCTTAATCACCGACACAGTAAGGAGGGGTTGACTGCCATCGCTTGTTTGGTAGTTATAACCTATTTATTAGTAGATAATTGGAATTGCCTTTGCTTATCGATGATCAATTAGGTGAACCATTGCTGAAGTTATTCCTTGGCTAGATCCTTAATTATCATTCATTTGATTTTAGTAATTTGTTATTTAATTTTTAGTAGTTTCTTAGATTTTATTTGAACTTCTTTTATTGTCACCTTCTGCATAAAAACACCCCCTTGTCACTGTGAATTTGAAAAGAAACAATTACCCCCAGTCCCTGTGGATTCGACCCTGCTCACCACTATCTACAGAAATTACTTTTAGTTTGAGCAGGTTTTATTATTGCACAGGCTTCGACAACCTGTCATCCACCACTCTCCTTGGTCTGCCGAAAAGACCACCGGGGCTGCATCAAGGCGAAAGGGGAAGGCAAAGGTTGACGGACCGACCTCAGACTTCTGGGGGGAGGATGTGTATATTCCAGTTCGGGATGAAGAAGTTGAATTCGTTGCTAGTAGGCCAGGTAAGCGCCCGGTATCGAGTCGTGGGACATCATCCTTCGATGGTTCAAGGAGCACTAAGTCTCAGAAGACCGGGGAAGCTCTCCGAGACGCAGCAACGAACATTGGTAAGCTGTCTCAGATCAAAATTGATGAAAACACCCGACGAAATGAGTGGTGCGTAGCAGCGCTAAGAGTTTGGGACAAATCATACCCAAAAACATGAGCCCATTGAACTGTGGTCCCGAAAACGTCTTGCGTGCATGAAAGAGTTTGAAAATAGTGAGAGGTGGTGCCACATGTTTCTGCAATCGAATGAAGGCTTCCAGTATTGGTATGCCGATACCATTCTTGATCCGAAATAGCTGCTGCATAGGCAGCTTTAGACTGAATTTCCTTGCTTGATATTTCAGTAAATTTGGCTGGGTTATATAACTGTGTCCTGGAGGACAAATTTTGGATTGCTGTTGTGCACAAAAAAAAAATCCCAGTCTTGCGGATAGTATATGTAATTTGCTTCCATTTGACATAAACTTGCACTATGTCTGTATTTGAGGCTTTGCACCCTGCGGCTTATGAACATTCGTGTATTGATGTACTATCTTTTTATAGTTCAATGCTTATTACTACTCCCATTACACTGATTTGCTAGTGAATGGGGTATTTTCTTCATTTATATGGTTACTTGGATAATATTAATGCAATTACATTAGCTATATACTGTATTAGAGTGTATATCTTTACATAGGGAGGCTGGAATGGTCTTAGTTGATTGCATTGGGTTTTGGCCGCAAAGGTATATTAGTTCTTCTTTTAGAAATAGTTAAGTTACATTTGTATTAATATATACATAAAGGCCCCTTTGTTATATATATAGAGATCCTTTGTATTAACATCTCTATGAAACATATATGACTTTGAATGTACATTAGATGGTTTCCAGTAGCAATTGCTATTATATATGATAAGCATGGACCACTGACACCCACACAAGACATCTGATATTTTTTCCAGTAGCAAAAGTTATGACTACTATTTTCATTGGGAAATAACACATGCTGGCCCACGTCTGTATCTCCTGGCTCGGGCACGCATATGACTACTAGTATACTAGATTCTTTTCCTTTTTTTGATTGTGGGTTATATAGTGGCTACTTTGGCCGCTAGCTACTTTGTAGGAATTGCACATGGGTATTTGGACGTTCACTGGATATCCGGGATACTGTCCTTCCTATATTCAATGGCCCTTTAAGTTCTTATCAACTACTGTTTTCGCGTGCTTATTTGTCCGAGCATCAGTGATCTATCAATCAGAAACAGGTGCCGCCACGCAATCCACTATTTGGTTGCAGCTTTATTTATGTAACCAATCGTGACCATTCAAAGTATGTCAACATGTCTATGTCGGTAGGTGAAATTGGTTGGGTTCCGCGAGACCACTATCAAATTTCTATAAAGCCATAAGTTTATAGCAGTGTGTACATGCCTCCCATATCCAGCTACTAACATCAGAAATCCAGCAGCGTTCAAGCCATAGGAATTCTGGTTCATCGGCAGCCTTTTTGTTCCCGAAACAGGCTCTTGCCATTGCCTAGTACAGGTGATGAATTTCTATTCATAAATATCTGTCATATTGCTAATTTTTCTATTCAGTATATATATATATATGTGTGTGAATATATATAGTTTAGGTATATTAAAAAATGATTAGTTTAGGTATATTAGCTCACAGTGATTTACTATAAAAATTACTTTTGGTTATTATTACTATTAAAATATATTAGTTAAGGTATATTAGCTACGATTTATTACTATAAAAATTACTTTTCTATATTTTGTACTGTTAAAAATATTAGCTAAGGCCTTATTAGCTAAGGTATATTAGTATAAAAATTACTTTTCATTGAGTGAGTATTAAAAAATATTAGATAAGGTATATTAGATAAGCTATTAGAAATATTAGCTACGGTATATTACCTTAGCTATTAAAAATTTTAGCTAAGGTATATTACTATACAAATTGTTGGATATTTTGTACTGTAAAAATATTAGCTACGGTTTATTACTAAAAATTACTTTTGGTTATTTTTACTATTAACAAAGACAAATTATATATCACCTGCAAAAGAGGATGAAACTTTTCAAAGCATGCCTTCACAACCTCCTGACCAACAATACCACCAACCATGACAGCCATGGGATTTACAACAGCTCGGGCACCGAGAGACAGTTCATGCAAAAGTTTTGGGTTGATATCTTCTACTTTTCAATCCCCTAGTGCTTCATTTAAGTCTCTGGCAATTGATATAAGTATATTAGCATCCTTATTTGAACCTGCAACAGAGAGGCAGCCCATTTTAGCCACGTACTTGTCTTGTGCTATAAATGCCAAATGCAGAAGACGCGGGCCAACCCAATTGTCTAGTACTTTTGGTTAGTTTTATTATTACAAAATTATTAGTTAAGATCTATTAGCTAAGCCATTAAAAATATTTGTTGGGATATATTACTATAAAAATTGCATTTGATTTTTTTTTTTTTACTATTACAAAATATTACCACCGGGCATTACTTTGTCTAAGCTAAGGTATATTAGCTAAATCTATTTAAACTTTCAGCTAAACTAGATAAATTTATTAGCTAAGGTACATTAGCTAAGCAACTGGTGTATTACTATATTCTACAGGCCCAGTTATATATGTGACTTTGGAGTCATCCGTTTAGTATATTAGCTAAAGTTTCGTTTTGAGCCATGGTGTACCAGGTTTCATAGGCGGCCAAAAATAGAAGTATGGATAATAGTTGGAATACTTGGGGATCGTCTTCGAATAATGTTGATGATGATGACGATGACTGGGAACTAATCCAATGGGCAACGGTTATTCTATTCAACCCTGTGTCTGAACGTCTAGCAGGATATATATTGCCTCTACCATGCAGAAACAGCATGCTAAGTGGCCGTGCGTATGTGCAAGAAGTGATTGATGGCCATCCTGCAAGAGTACTTGAGAACTGTAGAATAACGGTGGATTCTTTCATGCGCTTATGTGACATTCTTGTGAGTGGGGGATATGTACCACAAAATCCCCAGAAAAGAGTGCTCATAGAGGAAGCACTGTGCATGACATTAGTCATGTTGAGTCACAATCATCGAATGCGCTGCCTCGCTGAACGATTCCAACATTCTTCGGAAACCATCTGCAGGAACATTCATGAGGTGTTGCGGGGCCTTTGTGAGTTGGGAAAAATTCTCATAAAGCCGAGAGGACAAAACGAGATTCATCCAAAGATTTACACCGATGGGCGATTTGCCCAATGGTTTACGGTAAAGTTTTGTGTTAAAAAATTTATGCTTTTTATATAAAGTATTACTTACCCTTTTGTACCAACATTCAAGCATCAATATTCAATGATCATGTCCAACTTTACTATTTACTAACTAGCATATCAAATCTACAAGAATGCTGTAGGTGCATTAGATGGTACACATATTCCAGCACATCCGCCACCTGGACAACAAGCGGCATATACGAATAGGCATGGCCAATCAACTCAAAATGTACTAGCCATTTGCGATTTTGATATGCGATTTTCATATATTTATGCTGGTTGGGAAGGAAGCGCCCATGATGCACGCGTCTTGGACGGAGCACTAACAGGACCTACACATTTTTCGATGCCCCCTCCAGGTGCACGACAATATTTTGTTGTCAAATTTTTGTCCAATTATATGCTTTCATAGTATGTGAGTGTATGAGTGGGGGGGGAGAAGTAGTAGTGTATTTTGACTTATATTTGACCTTCATTCCACTTTGTTTGTAGGAAAATACTACCTTGTGGACTCGGCATACAGAAATATTCCTGGATTTCTTGCACCTTATCGTGGAACACCTCGACAAAATGCTCAAGGCCGACGTGGCTCTTCCTCCCCTAAGCAACTTTTCAATACTCGTCACTCATCACTTAGAAATGTAATTGAGAGATGCTTTGGGGTGCTTAAAAGGAGATTCACTATCCTACGTGGTCCTGTACCTAATTTTTATATGAGTACACAAATAAATGTGGTGATAGCTTGCTGTACTCTACACAATTTCATACGAGATGAATTGCCAGATGATGACATATTCAATGATCATGATCAGGAGATGGATATCGAAGGAGAAGGTGGGGTCCCACCTATGCCAGAAATTCAACCCTTAAGTGCCTCACAACAAGAGGTCAATGAATGGCATGAAATGAGAGATGAAATGGCAAATGGAATGTGGAATGCGTATCGGAGTGCGAGACGAAGGTGAGGGATTTGTTGTGAATGACTGTTGTGTGTTAATACTAGTGTGATGCGAATAAGGTTAATTCAAGTACTGTAGCAAAAAATGGGCAAATTCTCACAATTTGCTTGTTTTCGTCTGTATGTTTCCTAATTCCTCTATGCTTGCTTCACAACTGAGTGGCCAAGGATGTCTGTATTGAAAGTATTGTATTCTATATTAAATTTGGTATATCGTAATTTTATGAAGAACTATTTAGCCCCTGCAAAATAAATGCACATAGTGTCAACCGAGTGGTTCAAAGAGGTTGCAACTTGAGGTGAATAATGTGATATAACCAAAAAAAGTTGTGGTTAAAAAAAAATTTAATACTTGCAAGAATACAATATACTATCCAAACACGAATCCTATATTGTATTCTCATTAAATCGACTATCCATACGATATTCAGTTATTCTTATTCGGTCAAAGTCTTTGACCGAATAACCATAAATTATTTAATAGAATACTCATAATCCATACACAACCACACTTTTCCAGCTTCAAGTGGCAATCCAAAATGAAAGGTACAATGCTTAGCTTAGAAGTCATTACAAATCGAAAATTAAATTCAAGTTGTTCAAGTACAACCATAGGAAATATAAGCTGCTCAAATACTTTCAAACTTCCCATCCTGTAAGGAAAACAAATAAACATGGGGTGAGCTAAAGTTCAGTGGTGCCCCAAAACATGTAGTCACGTAAATCAAACAGCGAGTAATAACTTAAACAAATTGAACAATTAGGAAAGCGTATAACAGCACAAGGTAGGATACAGGGGCTCTCAGGAGCCATTTTCCTCGCTTGATCACCATTTATCGTAGTTGACCCTCCGTCAACTCTCACTACCTATAATCCATGTAGAGCGTCTCATTTTGATACCTAACCCGTCACCATTCATACCCCTGTCCCGGGCCCGCTCACCGACTAAAGACGCAGTATACTCGAGATATACCCGCAGATGATTGGTCGAGGGATTCACCCAATGACATTATTGTAGTTAGATTCATGCGTCGAGAGATTCACCCAACGACGTAACTACGTTTAGATTCATGGTAGTTGGATTCAGAAATCGAGGGATTCACCCAACGACGCAACGACATTTAGATTCAAGGATTCAGGAGAAAAATGATTCACGCAAGTCACCACTCGAACGGCTAGTGTGATAAAGTACACACCGCTCACTTCGATGGATCAAAAACTAGTTTTGCAAATTATCACTTATCGAGTCTAGAAAGCACTTAATTCAGGTAGGAAAAGAACAGGCAGGGACACTCACCAAGAGTGAAGTTCAGATATCAAGTTGGGAATCGAATTCCGCGTCCTCGCAATATCCTAGAACATCAAATGTTGAAACTATGAGTTTTTATTCAGTTTTTAAGCTTATACTCATCGAGGTTTATCTAATATATTACTAGTTTACTTTCCCACAGTAAATTCAAAAATCTATTTAGGTTGAAACTTGACAAAAGTAGTAGAAATGTTTCTTATAGTTTTCCTTGAGGTACTTTTCCTTATAGAAGGATAACTAGTATTATTCTCTAGAAATAAGTCGACGAACCTCTTAACATCAAAGCTAGAGGAATACTTTGAAAATTTCTTTAAAGCTACGGTTCTTGCAAAAATTATCACTAAAAACTATTTTATCTAAAATAAAGTTTCTTGCCAAGCAAGTCCCTACATTTTTAATTAAAGTTATTAAAACTCTTATTTTGGAACTTTTCCTACTGACAACTATCCTAGGGCAAATCTTTAAGAAAGAAAAGGGATTAAAATAAGACTTAGGATTTTCAAAAGCTAGAGAAATTATTTTCAATTAAGGTTGTTTAAAACTTGTACTTTTGAATTTTTCCTATAGTCAACTAGCCAAAAAACAATTCCTAGGGAAAAGAAAGGAAGTAAAACAAAGCCTAGAGTTTTTGAAACTAGTGAAATCATTTTCTAAAAATAATAAGGCTAGTTTAAGCTTAAAGGAAGAAATATCGAGTTGACAAGGTTTAGAAAATCTCTACATGAAATTTTCAACTTTAACATACCGTGCTAAGTTTTATCGCACCATACTAGGGCGAAGATATATTTAAATAGCTTGCTTAACACTTTCTCAAGTTCACCAGACCAATACGGATTTCTTACGATTCCGATTCACACACACGTAATATTTTAGATTCGTCAATATAGCAAACTCACATTTCAAATAGAAGTCTCACTAGGGATTCGTCAATCATTAGCCCTAGGTTTCAATAGATTCATTTCAAATCGAGAATAAAATAAATGACCAAGGCTTCGTCAATCATTAGCACTTGGTTTTTGGCAAGTTCATATCACATCTTAACTTAATCGAAATAAACATATTAGCTCCAAACAAGTCCAGCAGTTCAATTTCACCACACTTAAACACTTATATAAAATTATTCAAATGGCTAAGGCTTCATCAATCATTAGCCTTTGACAACCCTCAATCACATCCAACCACAATTAAATCAGGAATTCAATTCACAAACAAGCTAAGTGTTTGATCCAAGTCAAGATTTCAATTTCATGAAGGACAGGACATTTCAGCAGGACAGCCTACTTTGAGGAGTCACGAACAACGGTACACATGGAGGAAAAATATGAAATTCCTACAGAACAAAGGCCCATGAATCTAGTTTCAAATGCCACTGACTGCACCTTAATCAGATTTTCCTACACCAAGATATAAGCATTTTACTGAGACTGGTCAGTGAAATCCGAAAATCTGGAAATTCATTTTTCACTTGTGAAAAACTCCTTTTTCTCTTTTAAGACCATAAGACTTTTATTCAAACCATCCGTACATTTAAGTATGACATTCATACCAGCATATACCAAGGCAAATAACGCTTAATTCCAGTAAATGGTTCAGCCAAGAAATCATATATATGCTAATCTGTCATCAGCTAAGTATGACAATCATCAATTGGCAATTCACCCACAATTCGAGTGTTTCGCATCTGCATGTCTTATAAAACTTTAAAACAGCATATTCCAGGCATTTCCAATCATTATGCTTCAAAGAATAATTTCACAACCGAGCTAAAACTCCAACTCAACCTTCGGATACCACGAAACAAATTTCCAGCATTTATATTCCAACATTTGGTTCAATCTTTTAGTCATTCAAATTTCCAGCACTACGTTGTTCATGAATTCAATATTTCCTTGGCTAAGACATGCCATTACACTCTCAACTTCATCATGCAATTACTTGGCTAGTCCGTTAACATTTCCAGCTCGAAATTAAGTTTAAACAACTGTTATAATCCTCAAAATTTCCGGTTTTGAACTCACGGTAGTTCATAAGAATTTTCCAGAAATTGTATGTTCTTAATCTAGCTTTTTCCTTAGCTAAATTAGTATTTTGGGGACTCAAATTCAACATGCAACTGCTTAACCACATGATTAACATTTCTAGTTCAGAAATTAAGTTCGATTAACGACGAAAGTCATCCGAAATTCCAGAATTTTCCAACAAGTCTCGGATGAAACATGCATGTAGCAGATTCGGTTTCATTTTATTTTTCTGATCTAAACCCACCAATTAACCACATGCAGGGCTTAATTATCTTGTATTTAGCTAGCTAATTACATTTCTGGTTCAAAATCAACTTCGAATAACAACTACCTCCATCCCAAAAATCCAGAAATTTGTCCAGCTAGTCATGGATGAAGTTGCATGCATAAATTTTCTGTTTTCATTTTATTTCCTTGGTTAGCCGAGCTACCTAGCCTCAGGCAAGCCTCAATCATCATGTTGTTAGCTAGATAAACATAGGTATCAACTCAGATCCTCATAATGTAGAAGATTAAGAACTACATTTCCAATTTAAGCTCACGGTAGTTCCATTTCATCAAAACAGAATTTCTTATGCTCCTTAATTCATCATCCGAATGCACAAAATTAACATACAAAGCCATAGCCAGGTAAATCAACTAGTGATTAGTCATATAATCCACAATACAGGCTCAGATTATCAAATTTAAATAGATTACAACTGCAATTCAAATTTCTGGTGCACAAAAATTCCATTTCACTAAATCAGAATTTTTTCCAGGTTCCTGATTCCATCATCCAATCACATAACTCCACATGCAAGGCCTTAATTGTATAAATCATCCAAGTTTCAGTTAACTAATCATAATCTCGGTTGCTTATCATCACAACAAAGCAGATTACATCATGCAATTCTTAAATCAGTTTTCGGCCAACCATTTTCTTATCAAAACAGAATTTTCTTGAGCCTTAACATCATCATCCGAATCTAGCTTCCACATGCAACACCTTAATCTACTTAATCATTCACTTTTTATTTAAATAATCATGACCTCAACCTCGGATCATCAGAATTGGACAGATTAGAAACTGCATTACTCTATTAACCTCTCGGCCGAACCATCTAGCCATCCAGTCAGGTTTTCTTTTTCTAATGTCTCATCCGATGGTTTAAAATTCAACATGCAAAGCTTAATCCTCTAGTCCTGAGATAAGTAATCATATTTCTGAGCTCAAATTACCACAAATGGGCGAGATTAAGGCTGCATTTCCAATTCAGTTTCTCGGCAGAGACATTTATTTCCAAAACAGATTTTTCTAGTGTTTTGATTTTATCAACCGACTGCATAAACCATACGACATGCCCCTAGATGGCTTAATCTACCTCTGATCAACCTTAAATGGTCCAGAAATTACCTCACAGTGCAACTTGCTCACACGACAGAGCTGAATTCTTTCTTCCTCTCGGCTCGCGCAAGGACTGGTGGCGATATTCCTGGTTGCAGTGCTTTCGGCTATGGTGGTGTTGGAGTTTTGAGGATGTTTGCAGCTGGTGGAGGTTGAAGAAACAGAAGAGGTTCACGCAAGGCTTTCTCTTTGTTCCCTCTAATACGCGGTCAAGAACAGAAACGAGGAGCTCCTTCCTCTCGGACGCGAGGTACAGCTCCCTTTCTTTCTCTCTTTGTCGATGATAACAAGGCAGAGTGTTGTGGTGAGTTTGGGTGTGGTCTGAGGTGAATTAGTGCACGGTTGGGAAGTTGAGTGTTGGAGTGGAACAAAGAATAGTGTTTGGCAGAAATGGAAGAGTTGGCTCTTTGGTGATTGGCCGAATGAAGAGGTAGAGCATAAGGTTGTCCGGCAATTTGGTTTTGGAATTGCATGGTTGTTTTGAGATTGTATGGAGGGCATTTTAGTCCTTTCACGTCTCTTCCTAATCTCCACTCAAAACCTTAGTTCTAACTTAATTCCAAAAATTATCCCCAAGTGTGATTTGATTGCCTAATTATACACTAGTCATGCAAAACTTTAATTATCGAAATATTACGTCTTAAGTATGTTTAGTATACTTGTATCATATTTATCTAAAATTTATTGGCTTTGTCTTAAAGTGAACATTCTTATTAGTATTTAACGTTATTCACTGATTAGAATTAATTATTGGAATTCAAGAAATTTTATATAATTAATCTACTCAGGTAGCATTAATTTTCAACATAAAGAAAACTAAGTATTTTAGCATTTTGTTTTAAGGCGATAAATTATTCTAACTCCAGATGTATTAATTTAGTCTAGCAAAATCAAGAAAATTCATAACTTAGGAAAATTATATTATTTGTCACATGAAAGGTGTTTTTACGAACTTATTCGGAAACAAGTGACAGTGATGCTGGAAATTATTAAGGAATAAAAGAAATGCAAATGAAATATGCACTGGTTTATATATATATATTTTTCAGGGTTCTCATTTATAAGCTAATTCCAACATTTTTACTTCAAATGAAATTTGTTAGCCTACTAGTATTTTATTCTTGCAAAGGTTCAATTATCGAGATTTTAAATGTTCTGAATGTAATTGTAAAGGATTTCCGCTAACACTTAATATTATTAACGCTTAAGATTAGCTATCGGAATTCGAAGAAATTATTTGTTAAATCAATGAAATAATTTACCTTCGAAATATGAATTTAATGAAACAAAACTAGAAATTTAATAGTTTAGCACAATTCTTTTATTTGGCACATAAAATTTATTAAAGAGTTAAAAGAAATGCAGATAAACTACAAAATGGTATTTATATATATATATACTTTTCCCTTGCTTGTTTAAGAACGAATAAGGTTAGGAGTAGGATTTCTTACAAGTCCAAGATGCAAAGGCAATACGTAAGTACACCTTTATTTTTATATGTATATATATCTGTAGGCATATTTTCGAGGTTCTCACACCTGTGGCGACCCCACTTCCCCCTAAGGCGAACCAAAGGGTTGGCGGGCCGTCTGCCCAACTCTCGCCAGGACTCACGCAAGCATTCTAACCTAAAACCCTCCGACAATTATCCTAAACTATTACAAAATGATTCTTCCGAAATAAGTCAATTTCTATCACCACATTAGCTTCAAAGATAACAGCATATAACTTAGCCAATCGACGGCTCTTAAATACTTCATGCGTCGCTCGCAAGGGTTAAGGACATACTATACCAATACAAACGTACAAATTGAGTATTAAAATTAGAGATTACACTTTTCCAGCTTCAAGTGGCAATCCAAAATGAAAAGTACAATGCTTAGCTTAGAAGTCATTACAAACCGAAAATTAAATTCAAATTGTTCAAGTACAACCATAGGAGATATAAGCTGCTCAAATACTTTCAAACTTCCCATCCTGTAAGGAAAACAAATAAACATGGGGTGAGCTAAAGTTCAGTGGTGCCCCAAATCATGCAGTCACGTAAATCAAACAACGAGTAATAACTTAAACAAATTGAACAATTAGGAAAGCGTATAACAGCACAAGGTAGGATACAGGGGCTCTCAGGAGCCATTTTCCTCGCTTGATCACCATTTATCGTAGTTGACCCTCCGTCAACTCTCACTACTTATAGTCTATGTAGATCCACTTATTTTAATTCTAACCCGTCACCGTTCATTCCCCTGTCCCGGGCCCGCTCGCCGACTAAGGACACAGTATACTCGACATATACCCGTAGATGATTGGTCGAGGGATTCACCCAACGACATTATGGTAGTTAGATTCATGCGTCGAGGGATTCATCCAACGACGTAACTACGTTTAGATTTATGGTAGTTGGATACAGAAGTCGAGGGATTCACCCAACGACGCAACTACATTTAGATTCATGGTAGTTGGATACAGAAGTCGAGAGATTCACCCAACGACGCAACTACATTTAGAATCAAGGATTCAAGAGAAAAATGTTTTTGCACAAGTCACCACTCGAACGGCTAGTGCGATAAAGTACACACAACTCATTTCGATGGATCAAAAACCAGTTTTGCAAATTATCACATATCGAGTCAAGAAAGTACTTTAAACCGGTAAGCATAGAACAGGCAGGGACACTCACCAAGAGTGAAGTTCAGATGTCAAGTTGGGAATCGAATTCCGCGTCCTCGTAATATCCTAGAATACCAAATTTTGAAACTATAAGTTGTCTATTCAATTTTTAAACTTATTCGCATAGGAATTTATTTAATATAATACTAGTTTACTTTCTCAAGAAATTTCAAAAATCTATTTAGGTTGAAGCTTGACAAAAGTAGTAAAAATGTTCCTTATAGTTTTCCTTAGAAGAGGGTAACTAGTATTATTTACTAGAAACAAGTCGACAAACCTCTCAATATCAAAGTTAGAAGGTTACTTTGAACATTTCTCTAAAGTTACGGCTTTTGCAAAAATTATCCTTAAAAACTATTTTTCTTAAAATAGGGTTTCTTGCCGAGTAAGTTTCCCAAGCTTTTCACTAAAATTAGTAAAACTCATATTTTGGAACTTTTCCTATAATTAACTATCCAAGTGTAAAACTTAAGGAAAGAAAAGGAATTAAAATAAGACTTAGAGTTTTCAAAAGCTATAGAACTTACTTACTATAGCTATCAAGGCTAGATTGAGCTAAAGAAAAGTATCGAGTTGGAAAGTTTTAGGCAAAACACTAGATATGGAGTTTTATCATATAATACTAGCTGGAAAAATATTTTTGATTAATTTGATCACAGTTACTCGAGTTCGCAAGGTCGATACAACTTCCACCGCCCCGATTCCGTTTCGAAATCATAATGTGGCTCGAAGTATGGCAAAAATCACATAGCAAATTACTAGGGTTTCGTCAATCATTAGCCCTAGATTTCAACAAGTGCATTTCTGAATAAAATAAAATGATCAACCAAGGCTTCATCAATCATTAGCACTTGGTTTCGGCAAACCCATCATAAGCAAATAAGAATAAAAGTAAAGCCTCCAAGACATTCCAGCAATCAACTTCCATCATCCAGTAATACTTATAAAATCATTCCAATGGCCAAGGGTTTCATCAATCATTAGCCCTTGACAACATCAATCACATCCAACTACAATTTAGTCAAGAATTTAAACCACAAGTAAGCTACAAGTTCAATCCAAATCAAAATTTAGTTTCACGAAGAAAACAGGACATTCATACCAAACAGTCTACTTTGCGGATTTACAGACAGCAGTACACATGGAGGAAAAATACGAAATTTCTACAGGACAAAGGCCTATGATTCTAGTTTCAAATGCCACTGACGGAACCTTAAACGGATTTTTCTACACCAAGATATAAGCATTTTACTGAACTGGTCAGGGACATCCGAAAATCTGAAATTTCATTTTTCACTTGTGGAAAACTCCTTTTTCTCTTCTAACACCAAAATGTTTTTATTCAACCATCCATACATTTCTTATAGAACTCCAAAACAACATGTTCAGGCATTTTCATCCATCATGATTCAAGGAAAATTTAAAAACCATGCTAAGAATCCAACTCACCCTTCGGCTACCACAAAAAGAAATTCCAGGATGTATATACCAACCTTTTCTGGCTTCATACTCGGCGAACTGGTGAACTGGACTTCATACTCGGCGACGCTCATCGCCCCCTGCATACATTTTATGAAATCATCCTCCCTCTTTTCTTGGATGAGACGTGGAAGAAATTTGGCATTGAACTCCCTTGTGAAGTTTGCCCAAGTCCTTGGAGTATGATTCCTGTCCCAGTTAGTCCTAACTAGATTCCACCAGGAGCGAGCTGCTCCCTCAAACTGGAATGCGGCAAAAGTTACCTGCCGCTCTTCCGTGTAGTTCAAAGCTGCGAAGATGTCGGAGATTCTCTCCCACCATCCCTCAGCTATCTCAGGTTCAGGTCCTCCGTAGAACTTAGGAGGTCCAAACTTCAGAAACCTCTCCAGTGCCCGATCGTCGGAATCGGCTGGGCCTCCTGGATGACGCACTGGTCCAGCAGCTTGGTGTTCAGTCAAGCGCTCTAGGACGTCAGTGATACGGTTAATAGCGGTGGCCATTCCGACTCCGACCCCGCCCTCTTGCCCTTGGTCTGGATTGACCTCGGGTTCCCTATCACCACCCGCTTCCGGGTGTTGTCTAGTGGGTCTCCCACGGCTCCTTCCTATCACTTGACGATCCATGGTTTTGTTATGCCTAATATGGAAGGGATAAGACAATTAGGGGAATTATTTGCTTATTTATAACTGTTGTTATTCCTTTTGTAGCTAAAATCAACTTAGAATTAGAGAGAAAAGAAAATAAAGCATTAACATATATTCATGCGTGAAAGTCATACAGATAGCAAGTTGGGACATTTCCAAAAGTAAGGCACATAACTAGCAAAAATATATACAAATAATCCCTTAAACAAAAATTAGGGATATGGTGCCTCGGAAGCAAGTCATCCACCTAGACAAAACTTGATGACCTAGCTAATGTCCCCCTATTCTAACCCTACATATCCAATATGGTCGAATCGATCCAAGCCTAACCCTCAGCAGGGCTATCAGGAGCTACGTCCTCCTCCGGATCCTCCTCCGGGTCCTCCTCTGGATCCTCCTCCGGATCCTCCTGCTCGACACTCTGAAGGATACTCGTGGCCTCGTCTATCATCATCGCGGCATCAGCCCTGATACCGACACTCCTATCACGTATCCTCTCGGCCAATCGAGTCACCCTCGATCTCTGACGCGCTATCTCTACGCGAGCAGCCTCCAGCCTAGCATGCTCCGCTGCTACCCTCTGCTCTAACTCCGCTATGCGGTCGAACTGAGTGTCCACCATGATACTCAACTCCTCTACATCCTGAGACAAAGTGAAGTTAGCGTCCCTCAGCTGGCGACGCTCATCATCCAGGGATAGTACTAGCTCATTGGGGTAGGCATAAGTGGCCCTACACTGACACCGAGGATGCCTATCAGCTGGGGTGTAACGTATATGAGCTCTTCCGCCTCGTGGCCTATAAGAGATGGACCTAAGAGGCTCTATATGTCCGTTAGACGCTCCATTACCATAAGCATGTCCATTACCATTCTCCATACCTGCAAAAGAATTAAAACTTAGAGGTTAGAACTCAAATAGACAACTTATAGTTTCAAAATTTGGTATTCTAGGATATTGCGAGGACGCGGAATTCGATTCCCAACTTGACATCTGAACTTCACTCTTGGTGACCCCACTTCCCCCTAAGGCGAACCAAAGGGTTGGCGGGCCGTCTGCCTAACTCTCGCCCGGACTCACGTAAGCATTCTAACCTAAAACCCTCCGACAATTATCCTAAGCTATTACAAAAATGATTCTTCCGAAATAAGTCAATTTCTATCACCACATTAGCTTCAAAGATAACAGCATATAACTTAACCAATCGACGGCTCTTAATTACTTCACGCGTCGCTCGCAAGGGTTAAGGACATACTATACCAATACAAACGTACAAATCGAGTATTAAAATTAGAGATTACACTTTTCCAATTTCAAGTGGCAATCCAAAATGAAAAGTACAATGCTTAGCTTAGAAGTCATTACAAACCGAAAATTAAATTCAAATTGTTCAAGTACAACCATAGGAGATATAAGCTACTCAAATACTTTCAAACTTCCCATCCTGTAAGGAAAACAAATAAACATGGAGTTATGATTAAGCTGATAGGCATCCTCGGTGTTAGTGTAGGGCCACTTATGCCTATCCCAATGAGCTAGTACTATCCCTGGATGATGAGCGTCGCCAGCTGAGGGACGCTAACTCCACTTTGTCTCAGGATGTAGAGGAGCTGAGTATCATGGTGGACACTCAGTTCGACCGCATAGCGGAGTTAGAGCAGAGGGTAGCAGCGGAGCATGCTAGGCTGGAGGCTGCTCGCGTAGAGATAACGCGTCAGAGATCGAGGGTGACTCGATTGGCCGAGAGGATACGTGATAGGAGTGTCGGTATCAGGGCTGATGCCGCGATGATGATAGACGAGGCCACGAGTATCCTTCAGAGTGTCGAGCAGGAGGATCCGGAGGAGGATCCAGAGGAGGACCCGGAGGAGGATCCGGAGGAGGACGTAGCTCCTGATAGCCCTGCTGAGGGTTAGGCTTGGATCGATTCGACCATATTGGATATGTAGGGTTAGAATAGGGGGACATTAGCTAGGTCATCAAGTTTTGTCTAGGTGGATGACTTGCTTCCGAGGCACCATATCCCTAATTTTTGTTTAAGGGATTATTTGTATGTATTTTTGCTAGTTATGTGCCTTACTTTTGGAAATGTCCCAACTTGCTATCTGTATGACTTTCACGCATGAATATATGTTAATGCTTTATTTTCTTTTCTCTCTAATTCTAAGTTGATTTTAGCTACAAAAGGAATAACAACAGTTATAAATAAGCAAATAATTCCCCTAATTGTCTTATGCCTTCCATATTAGGCATAACAAAACCATGGATCGCCAAGTGATAGGAAGGAGCCGTGGGAGACCCACTAGACAACACCCGGAAGCGGGTGGTGATAGGGAACCCGAGGTCAATCCAGACCAAGGGCAAGAGGGCGGGGCCGGAGTCGGAATGGCCACCGCTATTAACCGTATCACTGACGTCCTAGAGCGCTTGACTGAACACCAAGCTGCTGGACCAGTGCGTCATCCAGGAGGCCCAACCGATTCCGACGATCGGGCACTGGAGAGGTTTCTGAAGTTTGGACCTACTAAGTTCTACGGAGGACCTGAACCTGAGATAGCTGAGGGATGGTGGGAGAGAATCTCCGACATCTTCGCAGCTTTAAACTACACGGAAGAGCGGCAGGTAACTTTTGCCGCATTCCAGTTTGAGGGAGCAGCTCGCTCCTGGTGGAATCTGGTTAGGACTAACTGGGACAGGAATCATACTCCAAGAACTTGGGCAAACTTCACAAGGGAGTTCAATGCCAAATTTCTTCCACCTCTCATCCAAGAAAAGAGGGAGGATGATTTCATAAAATGTAAGCAGGGGGCGATGAGCGTCGCCGAGTATGAAGTCCAGTTCACCAAGTTATCTCGATTTGCTCCTGAATTGGTAGCCACGGAGCAAAGGCGAGTCAGAAGGTTTGTGCAGGGTCTGAATGTAGAAGTGCAGGAAGGTTTAGCTGCTGTGAGGATAGATACTTTCGCAGATGCTGTCGAGAAAGCCCAGAGAGTGGAAGTAGCTAGGGCTCAAGTGAAATCTTTTCAGGCCAAGAAAAGATTTGCTCCTAGCAGTAGTCGGGAGCCGACGTATGGCAATGGTCCACCGGCCAAAGTGGGCCGAGGAACCATTGGAGTGAATAGTCCTGGAGCACCACGAGGCGCCCACGCAAGAGGAAACGGGGCCAGGAATGCGGGAGGATGAAATAACGGAACCAGAGTGGAACCGATAGGAAGGGGAAAACCTAGGAATACCTCGCAGGGAGGTCGAGCAATAGTTCCCCAAATGAATTGTGCATTTTGTAAGAAACCTGACCATACTATAGATGGTTGCTGGAAGAAGCAAGGGAAGTGTTTGAGATGCGGTAGTAGCGAGCATCAAATTGCTGGATGTCCAAAAATGCAAGGTGGGACTACCCCAAACGCTAGACCAAACACTTCTGGAGGAGGCCGGCCGACAGTCCCTGCCAGAGTGTATGCTATAGGTGACCAACCTGTACCTGATTCCTCGGAAGTGGTGAAAAGTACACTCCCGATTTTTCACCGATTAGCTAAAGTATTAATTGACCCTGGTGCAACCCATTCATTCGTAAATCCATCTTTTTTGTTTGGAATAGATGTGCAACCTGTTAGATTACCCTTCGATCTTGAAGTTAGGACACCCATGGGTAGTAAGATTGTAATCACTAGCTTGGCTTATAAGAATTGTGAATTCTGGATTGGAGAGCGTAAAATGCTAGTGGATCTGATCAGTCTGGACATAAAAGGTTACGATGTTATAATAGGAATGGATTTTCTAGGCCATCATCATGCTAAACTTGACTGCCGAGCAAAAGTGGTGGAATTTTGTATACCTGGTGAAGCAACCCTGAGGTTAGACGTCAAGGGTAGGTTAGCATCATCTGCTATGATCTCAGGAATTCGAGCAAGGAAAATGTTGTCTAAAGGAGCGCAAGGTTTCTTAGCCTTCTTGATAAACGCTCCCAGTGATCAAGTAAAGCTGGAGGATGTACCAGTGGTACGGGAATTTTCGGATGTTTTTCCTGAAGAGCTAAGGACTCTACCGCCGGAAATAGAAGTGGAATTTAAGATTGACTTGATGCCTGGAACGGCTCCAATTTCTAAGACCCCGTATCGAATGGCTCCTGCCGAGTTAAAAGAATTGAAAATTCAATTACAGGACCTGTTGGAGAAGGGTTTTGTGAAGGAGAGTGATTCACCATGGGGAGCACCCGTCCTATTCGTTAAGAAAAAAGATGGAAGCTCGAGGTTATGTATCGATTACCGAGGGTTAAATGAGGCTACAATTAAGAACAAATACCCTCTACCGTTGATTGATAGCTTGTTTGACCAACTGCAAGGGTCAGTGGTTTTCTCTAAGCTGGATTTAAGGCAAGGGTACTATCAGTTGAAGATCAAGAAGGAAGATATACCTAAGACTGCTTTTAGTACAAGATATTGACATTTTGAGTTTGCAGTCATGCCTTTTGGATTAACCAATGCACCAGCTGCTTTCATGGACCTGATGCAGAGAATTTTTAAGAAGTATCTGGATCAGTTTGTAGTGGTTTTCATAGATGATATCTTGATTTACTCCAAAACTCGAGAAGAGCATGCTAAGCACTTAGAGGTGGTTTTGCAGATACTAAGAGAACATAAGCTGTATGCCAAATTCAGCAAGTGTGAGTTTTGGTTGACTGAAATATCTTTTCTAGGGCACAGAGTTTCTGAAGATGGAATCGCCGTGGATCCGGCAAAAGTTGAGGCCGTTATGAATTGGAAACAACCAGAAACTCCAACTGAAGTTAGAAATTTCTTGGGTTTAGCAGGTTATTATAGGCGATTTATCCAGGATTTCTCAAAAATTGCAGGACCTATGACTGAGCTAACCAAGAAAGGGGCTAAGTTTGTCTGGACTCCGAAGTGCGAGTCAAGTTTTCAGGAACTAAAGAAGCGGTTAAAATCCGCTCCCGTTTTGGTTTTACCTGATTGAGGTGAAGGTTATGCTGTATATTCTGATGCTTCCAGAGAAGGTCTGGGATGTGTCTTAATGCAAATGGGTAAAGTAGTTGCCTATGCTTCTAGGAGATTGAAACCCCACGAACAAAACTACCCAACTCATGACCTAGAACTAGCTGCAGTAATTTTCGCCTTGAAGAAATGGAGACACTACTTGTATGGCGTGACTTTTGAGGTTTACACGGACCATAAGAGGCTCAAGTACTTGTTCTCTCAAAAGGAGCTAAATTTGAGACAAAGGCGATGGGTAGAATTTCTGGAAGATTATGACTGCTCGATTAATTACCATCCAGGAAAAGCCAATGTGGTGGCTGACGCTCTTAGTAGGAAGGCCCAAGTAGCAGGGTTAATGGTAAAAGAGTGGGATATGTTAGAAGAAATAAGTGGTTGGAACCCTCGTGTGGAGAAATTGAAGGTTCTATTTGGGAACTTATCATTGAAGTCACCGTTACTAGAGCGTATTAAGGAGGCCCAGAAAATGGACCCTATGATTCGGAAGCATTTGGAGAAAGTGCAGAAAGGGGAAACCCTAGACTTCAAATTAGGATCTGAAGGTGTATTGAGGTTTCGAGATCGAATTGTGGTTCCGGCAGATGAAGAGATAAGAAAAGAAATTTTAGAAGAATCACATCGATCGAAGTATACTATACATCCAGGTGTGACCAAGATGTATCATGATGTGAAGGGATTATACTGGTGGGAAGGTTTGAAAAAGGACGTGGCAGCATTGGTACAAAGATGCTTGATCTGCCAACAAGTAAAAGCTGAACATCAGAAACCCTCTGGTTTATTGCAACCGTTAGAAATCCCTGAATGAAAATGGGAACACATAACAATGGATTTTGTAACGGGACTACCTAAAAGTCAAAAAGGATTTGATGCAATTTGGGTAATAGTCGATCGACTCACTAAGTCTGCACACTTCTTACCTGTAAGCATGAGTTTTTCATTGGAGAAATTGATCAAGTTGTACACAGAAGAGATCCTAAGGTTACATGGTATTCCAGTGAGTATTGTGTCTGATCGAGACCCAAGATTTGTCTCGCGTTTTTGGCAGAAATTTCAGGACTCCTTGGGGACCAAGTTGAAGTTTAGTATTGCGTACCATCCCCAAACCGACGGGCAGTCGGAAAGGACAATTCAAACTCTGGAGGATCTACTGAGGTCGTGTATACTGGATTTTGGAAGTAAGTGGAGCCAATATATGACCTTAGTGGAATTTGCATATAATAACAGCTATCAGGCTTCGATCCAAATGGCACCTTATGAAGCTCTGTATGGAAGAAGGTGCCGATCTCCGATTCATTGGGATGAAGTTGGAGAAAAGAAAATCGTAGACCCTACAGCTATACCTTGGATAGAAGAAGCCTAGGAGAAAGTAAAACTAATTAGAGAAAGGCTTCAAGTTGCTCAGAGTAGACAAAAGAGCTACGCCGACACAAGGAGGAAAGATTTGGAATTTGAAGTAGGAGACAAGGTTTTTCTCAGAATTAAACCCTTGAAGGGCGGAGTAGTGTCTAAGAAAGGTAAGAAGCTGAAGCCAAGGTATATCTGACCTTTCGAAATTTTGAAGAGAGTTGGGTTAGTAGCATATCAATTGAAGTTGCCTGCAAGCATGGCTAAGATTCACGATGTATTTCATGTTTCCATGCTTAGGAAATATTATCCTGATCCAAGTCACGTGCTACCACTAGAAGGAATTGAGATGGATGAGACGTTAACGTATGAAGAAGGACCGGTCAGGATTTTGGAAAGAGAAATGAAGGAACTGAGAAATAAGAAAATTCCTCTGGTGAAGATTTTATGGAAGAATCATGGACTCGAGGAAGTAACTTGGGAGTTAGAAGAAGAAATGCAGATAAAGTACCCCGATTTATTTATCCAGAATGTGTGAATTTTGAGGACAAAATTCATTGTAAGGAGGGAAAGATGTGAGAATCTTGAATTTTGCAGATAAATACCAATGCATACTTCAATTTCACCTTTATCTAGCATTCGTATTCCTTAATCTTTTCTAGTATTATTTTCACTCGCTTTTATATACTAGTGCATATTTCATTCGTAGTTCTTATTCTAATCTATAACACTATTTCATTTGTTTAGAATAAGTAAATAAAAATAATTTTCATGTGCAAAATAATGTAACAGTGTTATCTATTAAAGCACTTAGCTTTGCTTCACTAAGTTAATAATTCTTGAGTTATATTAAGTTTATTCCTTAAAAATAATTCCTTAATTTTTAATAGCTAATTTTAATTTCGAATAAGGTTAAGTGTAGAAAGAAACCTTAATATTATTACGCAATCGATAAATTCTAGATAAAAACAATACAATTATTCTAAACATACTTAAGACGTAAAAATTTCGATAATCAAAGCCTTGCAAGATTAGCGAATAATTAGGCGTTCAAATCACTCTTGGGGATAATTTTTGGAGCTAAGTTAAAACTAAGGATTTAAGTGGATAATAGGAGGAGAAGTGAAAAGACTAAACTACTCTTCACAATTTCACAAAATCACCCCACGACCACAACCATTCCACGCATAGCCAAACACTCCCTCGGACACCATGATCATTCACCTCTCCATCCGGCCAATGCTCACCTTCACCACTTGCACACTTAAACCTCACAAACACTCCACCTTCACATTGTTATCATCGATCGAGAGTGAGGGAAAGGTTGAGCTGCACCATATAGCCGAGAGTGAGGGAGGAAGCTGAGAGCTGCAATTCCATTTCTGGTTCTGTCCGCGAGCATCGAAGAGGGAGGAGAGGAGGAGAAACCGTGAGCAAACTTCCTTCTGCATTCTCCAAGATCAGCCGGTTGCCATCCAACCTCCACCACCACCAGCTGCAACCGCTACACCCCAACCAGAACCAACATACCTGTGCGTGAGGACAAGAGCCGAGAGAGAGGGACAGACTGCAGCACCTTGTCGTGTGAGTGAGCATCCAGTGAGGTAAATTTCTGGACTGAAAAATGGTTAACCAGAGGTAGTATAAGCAAGCTTTGGACTTGCATGTGAGGTCTTTAAGCTCGGATGATGTATCTAGCTATGTGATAATTTGATGATAAGCTACCAGAAATTGGTTGGGAAAAAGAATGGGACTGCCGTGAGCTTGAGCTGGGATGTTGTAGCTTTAATTCGTTATTTGTGGGATGATCAGAGTTTGTATTTGTGTATTAATCACCTGAAAACAAGATGATAAAGTCACGCATGAATTTAACTAGCCTGGATTGCACTGGAAAATAAGATATGAAACAGAATTCTTCACATGCAAACTCATCCGAGAGTAGTTGCACAAAACTCTGGAGTTATGATTGTATTTTTCCTGCTGCCGAGCTGATTTCTGGTCTGGAATGATAGTTAATTAACTCAGTAATTGTGCATGTGAGAATTAAGGACCTAATACAATGTTTTAACTGAAGAAAAAATTGGATGATGGAATAAGGAGCTTAGGAAAATTCTGTTTTGATGAAGAAAATTTCTGCCGAGAGTTGTCTTGAACAATGTAGTTTCATGAGGTATAATTTTGCTGTTTTGAGCCTCTAACCATGACTAATTAGTAAATTACAAGATGATTAAGCTACGTATGTAGTTAATTGGTTGAGTTAGATCAGAAAATAAAAGAAAAATGCAATCAGTTTCTGTGCAGATTATAACCGAGGCTAGCTGGAATTTTTCTTGAAAAATTGGATGACTCTTGTTGTTGTTCGAATTTAATTCTTGAACTAAAAATGTTAGTCAGTTAGTTAAGTAGTTGTATGTTGAATTTGAGCATTTGAATCTCTGAATGAGCTGAGGAAAAAAAAATTTGATTTAAGAACTAATGAGCTGCTGGACATTTTCCTTGAAAAGCCGTGAGGTTTAACCTGGAAATTTTGGGGTTTGTAATCATGGTTTAATTTCAACTCCTGATCTGGAAATGTGCATTGTTTTGCTAAGAAATTGCATGAGGAAGTTGAGAGTTTAAAAGCATGTTTTAACCCAGAAAATAAAATGAAAACAGAACATCTCTTCATGCATGTTCATCCGTGGCTGATGGACAAAATTTCTGGATTTTTCTGGATGAGTTTAGTAGCCGAATGAATCTAGTTTTGAAGTGGAAATTTTTAATAACTAGATAAGTGTTTACATGCTGGATTTGAGTACTCAACACCATGTTTAAACCAAAAGGAAAATTTGATCTAAAAGTATCTTAGTTGCTGGAAAATTCTGGAAGCCGCAAGGTTGAGCTAAATATTTCAGTTTGTCTTTTGAAAAATTCTATCGATTTCTGGAAATTTATTTTATTTTTCCGTGGAATATAATGGGTTAGAGATACATAAGAATTGTAAGTTTTAAGTTGCTTAGCAATGAAATAATTGATAAATTGGAAGATGGAGCCAGAAAAAGTTGGTATATACATCCTGGAATTTCTTTTGTGGTAGCCGAAGGGTGAGTTGGATTCTTAGCATGGTTTTTAAATTTTCCTTGAATCATGATGGATGAAAATGCCTGAACGTGTTGTTTTGGAGTTCTATAAGAAATGTATGGATGGTTGAATAAAAACATTTTGGTGTTAGAAGAGAAAAAGGAGTTTTCCACAAGTGAAAAATGAAATTTCAGATTTTCGGATGTCCCTGACCAGTTCAGTAAAATGCTTATATCTTGGTGTAGAAAAATCCGTTTAAGGTTCCGTCAGTGGCATTTGAAACTAGAATCATAGGCCTTTGTCCTGTAGAAATTTCGTATTTTTCCTCCATGTGTACTGCTGTCTGTAAATCCGCAAAGTAGACTGTTTGGTATGAATGTCCTGTTTTCTTCGTGAAACTAAATTTTGATTTGGATTGAACTTGTAGCTTACTTGTGGTTTAAATTCTTGACTAAATTGTAGTTGGATGTGATTGATGTTGTCAAGGGCTAATGATTGATGAAGCCCTTGGCCATTGGAATGATTTTATAAGTATTACTGGATGATGGAAGTTGATTGCTGGAATGTCTTGGAGGCTTTACTTTTATTCTTATTTGCTTATGATGGGCTTGCCGAAACCAAGTGCTAATGATTGATGAAGCCTTGGTTGATCATTTTATTTTATTCAGAAATGCACTTGTTGAAATCTAGGGCTAATGATTGACGAAACCCTAGTAATTTGCTATGTGATTTTTGCCATACTTCGAGCCACATTATGATTTCGAAACGGAATCGGGGCGGTGGAAGTTGTATCGACCTTGCGAACTCGAGTAACTGTGATCAAATTAATCAAAAATATTTTCCAGCTAGTATTATATGATAAAACTCCATATCTAGTGTTTTGCCTAAAACTTTCCAACTCGATACTTTTCTTTAGCTCAATCTAGCCTTGATAGCTATAGTAAGTAAGTTCTATAGCTTTTGAAAACTCTAAGTCTTATTTTAATTCCTTTTCTTTCCTTAAGCTTTGCACTTGGATAGTTAATTATAGGAAAAGTTCCAAAATATGAGTTTTACTAATTTTAGTGAAAAGCTTGGGAAACTTACTCGGCAAGAAACCCTATTTTAGGAAAAATAATTTTTAAGGATAATTTTTGCAAAAGTCGTAACTTTAGAGAAATGTTCAAAGTAACCTTCTAACTTTGATATTGAGAGGTTTGTCGACTTGTTTCTAGTAAATAATACTAGTTACCCTCTTCTAAGGAAAACTATAAGGAACATTTTTACTACTTTTGTCAAGCTTCAACCTAAATAGATTTTTGAAATTTCTTGAGAAAGTAAACTAGTATTATATTAAATAAATTCCTATGCGAATAAGTTTAAAAATTGAATAGACAACTTATAGTTTCAAAATTTGGTATT